TAACCAATCTATTTCAAACATTTTTCCGAAAAGGAATAATCGCGAGAAGAAAAACTGAAATATCATCTAGCAGAGCGTGGTTTCGATCCACGGACCTCTGGGTTATGGGCCCAGCACGCTTCCACTGCGCCACTCTGCTCTGTCATCGATATTTGATTATTTTTACATAATTTACGAATGCTTTAAACTGAGTTATAAATGACAATTTTAAATTAATATATATATATATTTTTTTTTTTTGCGTTTAGATATTTTAACAATAGCAATTCTTTTATTTATTGATATAAACTTAGAAAAATTTGTTTTTAGTAATGATGATTGATCAGTAATAAATAATTTTAATCTCTGCATGTTCTAGGTATTTTTTTCCCCCTTTAATTAAAAAAAAAAATTTAGTGAGCCAGAATATATCTCTAGATTTTATTTATTTATTGTTGTTAATAAGCATTTTTCGAAATTAAATTAATACTTTTATTTATTTATTTTTGTACATAAAGATAAAATAATTTTGTTTTTTAAAAAAAAAAATACTTGAAGTGTGGATAATATGTCCACGTAAAACAAAAATGGCGCTAGTTTCTTTCTTACTTAAAAACACGAGTTGTTTTTGTTGCCTTCTAAAAAATAAATACTTTGTTTACCTAGTTTTGTTCTGAAAACGGTAAAGAAAATAATTCTATTAAAAAAAAAAAAAAAATATTTATTTAAGTTTTCTTTTGGTGAAAAAATATTAAAAATGATTGTCACCATACGAGCTTTATCTTTAGTTCTCTAAAAAAAAATACTTTACGAGCCTGCCAGGATTCGAACCTGGAATCTCCTGATCCGTAGTCAGGCGCGTTATCCGTTGCGCCACAGGCCCTCAGTCGGTCGAAAGTCTAAGGGGTTTCAAAAAGCGTGAAATGAAAACTTAACGAAATGGTCTAAGTAAAAGGGATTATGTACGAGGACGAAGGAAAGGAGTGAGGCGGGAAAGAAAAAAAATAGGAAATTAACTTCTTTAAGATTTCTATGTCGGGTTTTGTCACTTTTCCCGCGTTTGGGATTGAAAGAACGCTTTAATGCTATATGCTAATTAAAAGAAATCAGATTAAAAGTTTATTATGAAAGTTATAAAATCAGACACATACATGCTAAAAATTCTATAAACATAATTTTTCGACTCATAACCGTTTTTCTTTTTTTTTTTAATCCTATAATTCATCTGCAATCCTCAAATTCTTGAGACATGTGAAACCTTCAGTCAGATAGTTGGTCTTTGTATAACACATTTCTTAAGTAATTGCACATTTTTTTCAGAAAAATAAATAAATAATAAGAATAATCAAGCTAATAAATAAAAATTGACATATTGTAATTAAGTAATACGCAGTTTTTTTCCCTCCAACTTTTGTACTTATTTATTATTTTACTTATTCTTTATTGTTTTTTTTTAATTCAAGATGAAAGGTTTATAAACAATCTCTTTAATTTGATGGAGACTTAGCATATGGGAATAAAAGAACAAATTCTAATTTATCAATTTTTTTTTAGGAAAGTTTAACAATCGTCTTTCTTGAACAAAAATTTTGATAATTCTTCAATAGTTTAATCCCACTTACTTTTTTTACGGCACATATTCTTATAATTGCTTAAGAAATTTGTTTTATTCATATTATTTGCTTAATAATTCTTTCCAAATTAGCCATTCTTAATATATACTTTTTAAAAAAAATTCTATCAGAAGTTAAGACATAAAACTAGACACATTAAGTGTCACATATTTTTATTGAAATGAAAGGAAAATAGTTTTCATGATTATCGAGGGCATTCGGAGCATTTATCTCCTGATTAAATAGCTATTTGAATGAATGTGATTTAATTATATTTGTTAGTCTCATTTCTGCTATAATTATCAAATTATTACTACCATTTGCTTTGGTTATTACTAGAGTAATGAGAAAATTTTCTCGGTTCGTCATTAAGAGACAAAATAGTTTTCATAATTTAACGAATTATTATCGAGGTATATTGGAGCATTTATTTGCTTGATTTATAGGTTATTTGTTAAAACGAACTCATTCAACAATATTTTTTATTTATGTTATAGTTATCACATTATTACTACCATGATTCTTGGTTCTTGCAAGAGCAATGAAAATATTGTCTTTTATTGGCTCTTCAATAAGAGACAGAATAGTTTTCATAATTTGCCGAATGAGTATCGAGGTCAATCGGAGCACTTATTATCACTTGATTAAATAACTATTTGTATGATTGTGATTTAATAATATTTGTGATTCTCATTTCTGTTTTAGTTATCACATTATTACTACCATGATGCTGCTCTGGTTCTAGCGAAAGCAATGAAAAAATTGTCTTTTCGTGGTTCTTCAGTAAGATACCGCAATCCTTCTTTTGCAGTCAAATTCCCAGGTTGCTTTCAAACACCTCACACTGAACACAACTTTGGCTATCCTCAACACATTAGTCTCTTAAAAAACGTAAGTTAAATTTATATTCATTTTTCCGAAATTACGTCTACATTCATTTAGACATAAATCGCATTTATATTAGCTAACATTATGCACATAATCTCAGGTATCCAAAACGTTACCGCTAATTCGAAATGCCAATTGAAGAATAATCGAAACAGATAGAATAAGAAACAGATGCATTTTTTTTTGGGGGCAACTAATTAATTTATTCTCCCCAATTTTCAAAATTAGTTGCAAAGTAAATTAACAGATGGCATTGCTGAAGGAAAAACAATGTTATCAATACAGTCTAAATTTTGAGCAACATCGTGGGACGGTCTACGGACTAAATTAACAGACAACAGAAACCCATGAAATTATTTCGCTTGAGATAGTCGGTCTCGAATCAGGTAATTTTTATTTTAATTAAATCTCCTTATTTATATTTCAATCAGGCAATTTACATATTTTTTTCATTTTTTATTTATATACTTGTTTATTTTAGTCAATGACTCCCATCTGTTGGCGAACATTGTAATTAATTTTTAAACTAATGAGATGAAAAACTGGTTTCGTTAGCAGAACACTCTAAACCAAACATCTTTTCTCCTACCGTTTATCTGGAAGAGGAGCATCCTGTGCTTCGCATAATTCATTGCTTGTATATTAGTACACATTTCAGCAGTATTATTAAACAACGCGTACCAGATTTTATGAAGAAATATTTAAAAATATTTCGATGTATTTATTTATGAAGAAACATTTAAAAAATCTTCAAGCTTTTTCAAATGATCTCAAAAAAGTCCTATATAAAAAGCATTTTTAATTACGTAATTTTATTTTAAGGGTGGTGTTTTCTACAACAAGGTGCTGAAATTTGGAGATGTTATTCTTCACAACATTCATAACAAAAATTTTAATTAGTTACAGTATGAGAAATCAATAGCTTTTTAGATATTAAATAATAATGGCCATTTGTTAGCTGAATTTTTTACTTGATTTGTTTTATGCCGAATTCAATTTTATGTCGAATAAAAGGTTGATTTTTAAAGGACGGGTGTTTTATTTCCCCTCATATAGATTGTTTTGGAAGATACCATACTCAGATGTCAACCAAGTACTTGTTGATCCTTTTAATGAAATGATCTTAGTTTAACAAAAAGTCAAATACACCGTCCCCACTTTGTTATTAATCAAGCAAAATAAAACAAAATAATGACGACTAAGTTCTTTATAGTAGACTAGGATCCGCCGAACAAATACGTTTTTGTAAAAATAAAATAAAATCATTAGTTTACAATTTTAATTCGTTTAAAATAGTGGGCTGGAGCTTGGGAAGGAAAGCTTTTGTTAGAAAGGAATTAAGTGCATTCGTTACTAATTCTGTAAACATTCAAATTTCTTAGATTCGTCTGTTTTCTTTCGTTTTTTCAGGTTGTTGTTGAAAGAGGCTTAACAGGACACATCGAATACGACAGATGGAATGAAACGCAGAGCAAAAGAAAGGATTTTAAATTAACTATTATTCAATCCACTCCTGCTGGTTACCAAGAAGTAAGTTCCTCCCCCCCCCCAAAAAAAACCCCCACTTAAACAGTTTCATGGCAATTAAAAATTTTCGAGTTTTTTGACATTGAATTATTCACGTAGATCAGAAAGTTTATTAGAGCTGAACTCAATCATAGTATTACTGTTAGCGAATGATGGGCATTTCTCAAAAGCTGAGAAAATAACGTTACATCTAATTTTTAATTCTACAGATACTTATTTTATATGCATTGAATATTCACTAATATGAATTACCTTTATAAATGATAAAAAAATAATCAACTTTCTCAACAAGACACCAAATTTTCTCAAATAATAAATTCATGGAACAAACTATCTTAACGCGATTTAGAGTATTTACTGTGTCATATGCATATATGGCAGTACTTTTACTTTCGTTACTTGTACCGCCGGAACAAGTAAAAAGTACGTACTTTTACNTAGACATTTGTGTGGCCTATGGATTCCTAACGAGCATCAAACATTCTCAAAATTATGTGTTCATTCACTGGAAAATTTAGTGTTTATTCACTGGTAAGAACTGTTTCTTCACTTGGTCATCTTACTACTTATTATTTAAACCACCAAAAGCAGGGCCGTCTTAATAGCATGCAGGGCCCTCGGGCACAGAAATGTTTTGGGCCCTTATAACAGGTCATACTGCTTAAAATCGAACTAACAAAAACTTCACATACAGAAAATAAAGCATTTTTAACATATGCAATAATTTGAACAAATTTAAATACATTTTGATTCCTCAAGAAACTGAATCCACATAAAAACTTCATTGGAACGTAGAAAAATAGATTTCGGTTGACTTTTTTAGTTTCCCTGGTGATAAACTATTAAAATTATTGTTTTTCTGCATGATAATCAATCACTATTTGTAGAAAGAAAACAAAATGCACACTTTATACCATAGAATATATTTATTTTTAAAAATATATCCGGCAATTTTGTTTATTCTTAGTTTTTTTTAAATACAATTTATAAAAAGTAAGATTCTCAAAGGCCCCCTTAGTGCTTAGGGGCCCTCGGGCACTGCCCGGGTGGCGTATTTACAAAGACTCAAGGANAAAAAAAAAAAACTTTAACAGCTTCATGGCAATTAAAAATTTTCGAGTTTTTTGATATTGAATTATTCCTAACAATAATCACGTAGATCAGAAAGTTTTTTAGAGCTGAATTCAATCATAGTATTACTGTTAGTGAATGATTAATGGGCATTTCACAAAAACTGAGAAAATAACGTTACAGTTAATTTTTAATTCTACGGATACTTATTTTATATGCATTAAATATTTGCTAATATGAATTACCGTTCTAAATGATGAAAAGATAATCAGCTCTAAAATATTTTTTTTATTTTAAGACACCAAATTTTCTCAAATACATGGAACAAACTATTTTAACGTGATTTAGAGTATTTGCTTTGTGATATGCACAGTTAACAGCATAAATATCCAATACTGATTCTTTTAGTCAGAAATTTTTTTTTAAAATATGTTTATCAAAAGCTTTTACAACATTTTACATAAATTCCTATCACTCGGTAGAATTATACTTTTACTTAAAAAAATTTTACAGTGATAAAAATTGAAACATAATTATTGTCAGAGCTAAAAATTTAGAGTTATTCTCCTGCGGTTCGAGAACTACCCTAACACGATTGGAAATAAGAACAATTTCGCACTTCTTTTCACCTCTTTCAACACAGCGCAAGCGTGAGAAGTCGCTTGCCAGACTGAGCTTGCGCAGTAAACACAAAGAAGAAAGAGAGACCTCTGTTTCCTCTGGCTTTTCAATCTTAATAATTAAACAATTATATAAAGTTGTTAAAAAAAGTTCTGCAACTCTTCAACAAATTTCAACTTTTATGAATTTTCATTTTGCGTTATTGTTTTTTTCGTGTGTTTATTTTAGACTCTCATCAATAAGCTCTAAATGACTTAGGATAAAACTGAACTTCTGGTTTTTATTCGTTACTGCTATAAACGAGATCTTTCAGCAAGAGATGCTGCAGAACTTTTTTTTAACTACCTAATATAACATAAACATATACAACTTTTAAATTACTTTAAGTTTCTTTTTTCTACCATTTTTAAAATAATTAAAATTTTCCTCTTCTTAAAACATTTTTAATTAACAAAATGTTATAATTAGCAAAATGCTTCATCATATAAAGTGAGTCCCTGTCTGAGTATTTTTCATTTTTGTGAAGATTTCGCTTTTATATCAGGTCATTATGAATATGCTTTTTATACTGGAATTATGAGTTTTTGAAATTGAATTTGTTAACATTATCTCATATAAGTTATGCTACACAGTTATGGTTTAATAGCATCAAAATCAATTTACAGTCATTATAACTCTGTTTTGGAATCAAAGTAACAGGACGTGTCCTTAAATATTAATTTCATTCCGTGACTTCGTTTAATCTTCACAAATTTAACAATTACACATATGTTATAGGAATTAATTTACACAATTTATGTATAGATACATTATGCTAACTATTGAATTTGTTCTAGTTCGGAACTTGGTCCGTCTTAGATCACGGACTGAGATTTTCCGAGAGACCAGTCAATGATCAACCAGGAGCTTTGCCTTTAACAGATAACAAATTATTAGTAGCATCCAAATTAGTGAGTATTGTTTTTTGTAATTTGAAGTTGATTTTTAAAAGATTTTCTATAAACGCTCATAAAAATATGTAAAGCTATCTTAGTCCAATCGTATTGATATTGGCAAAAATCCTTTGCTCTAAAAATTTTTTTTAAGTATTTCTGCTTTATATTTTACTTCGGTGATTAAAAAAATAGATAATATTACCATATGTGGCTCTTTAAAAAAGCAATTCCGGGTGAATCCTAGAATAGCCCAACCCGAGGCAATTTTTTGAAATCTCGCCAAGCGACTTTTTGAAATCTAACTAAACTAGGTTGCACTGTGGTTGATTGGTGTTTGTTTTGTATGTAATAGAAATATCAGAGTAAAGGTAAGTTATTTTTCATTTTAGTTTATTAAAAATATTTTAATAAATTTGTAATAATTTAAACTGTTTCTTTAATAATAAAAAAACAAAGTTGAAAATTGCCAACTTGGCGATATTTCAAAAAGTCGCCAAGGGTCGGCTAATCTAGGATTTTACCAACAATTCCTCATATTTTTTCGAAACAAATCAACCCCTATGATGAATTAATATAATTAAATAACAAATTAATATATTTAAGTAAATGGATACGACTGGGCGCCAAATTATCAAATAAATTCGAATCAATGCAGCTAATTCAAGTGCCCAATTCTGATTTGATTATTACCAAAGGAATTTGTATTTTTAAAAAAATCAATTAACTAGGGCTATTCGAAGCAACTAGCAAGTTAACTCAATACGAAGAATTATTATTGAACCAGTCATTAGAATTATACTAGGATATAAATTATTTGATTTGAATCAATTGATTTAACTCAACAGATTCAAATCAATGATTCCAATAAACACATTTCCGCCAGATAATAGTCTGTCAAAAACATGATTGTTGATATCATCAATTAAGCAGAGAATAAAAGCCTAAACCGATTGTGTTAAGTAAACATTGTGTTTCTTTTTATAGAAAAAGTTAACCTCAAGTTTTGCTGAAAAAATAAAATTATAAGCAAAATAAACGTTGACGTTTTGCTAAATTAAAACTCCTTAGCATTTGAGTGGCTAGCTTTCTATAATATTTGGTATATATTATTCTATATAATATTCTATGTAATAAATATCCGTCTTGAAATCAAATGGAAAAGCCTGCCTGAAAAATTTTTATTTCATTTTTAAAAAAAAATCGAAAAATGTTCAAAATCTAAATTTACTATGATTGAAATAAAAAAATACTTACTGAAGCATTTGTAGTATACAAATTAATTATTTAAGAAAATTAAAAACTAAATTATTTAGAACTTAATGATGAACTTAGTAATGACGAGGAGGATTTGCCGAAAAACCGCCATCTAGAGGATCTTTTTAGAACCGTTTCCCCAAAAAGAGACACCGCGAGTATTCAGTTTCAGATCTTTTTATATTTCTTCTGTAATTAACTGTAAGTTGCGTTAATGCAACTTTCCACTACTGAAGAAATTTTTTAGAAAAAATATCCGAATGCATTTTTAGGCATTATTTTGAAAGCATGGGCTATTTTCATTGTTGTTGTTGGTGTATCCCTGTTAAGGTAGAGGGGTGCGATTGTTCTTGTTTTCCAGTGGCGCCATCTGTGGTCAAGAATTCGACTTCTGCCGCACCTATACGTCACGCCCGTGCTATTTTCACTAAACTATGTATTTGAATTTTTATTCTTGATCTTTTTCTGGTGTAATTTTAATACATTTATTTTTCTCAGAATGCTCCTTATTTGATGCTAAAAAGAGGAGACAACGCTAGCCAGCTACAAGGAAATGATAAATATGAAGGCTTCTGCAAAGATCTAATGGACAGTATATGCGAATCATTGCACATAGAATGTGAAATAAAACTGGTGGAAGACGATACTCACGGCAGATTCGACCAAATGAAGGGTAGATGGACTGGAATCGTTGGCGAAATTATTCAAGGAGTAAGCTTTTTTATTTATTTATTACTTCAGCTTTCGTTAAAGTTGCGAAAATTTAAATTTTATATCTCATTAGTTCCATTTCTGAAGGGCCGAGGTTTGATCCCTCGTGGTGGATTGAAGCCCATCAACTTCTGATAGATGAATAACTGGGTGTCTGTGAAGTAAAGATGCCCGGTGCGCAATGCTGACCATGACGCCATTGGTTTAGAAATTGTGGAACAAAAAATATTTATTGAATATATGAATATATATATATAGAGAGAGAAGCCTATAGGCTTCTATCAATTAAGACATAGATCAATTAAGACTTCTGATTTTTACACAAATTCCACTAAATTATATTTCTTGCTGGTTATAGGTTTCAAGGCTTCACTTAACCTTAACGTCTTTAAAAATCACCCCTGAGAAGTTTTTTTTAATTTACTTGTTTTCGAGGAATATCTTTTTGATGATATTTTGAAAACTGATTTTCCAATTCAATGTAACTTTGAGATGGTTTAGGTTTAAATTCTGTATTCTGTTTGTAATTCGCAGAAGTATTATTTAAATTGTGTATTTAATCAATTAACTTAATTAAAATCAATTGACCCGTAAGAGTTTAAAAAAATTTCAAGTAATTTTAAATCATTTTGAATAATTGATAAAAAATTTCGACTCGTGTAAAAAATTAATGATTGATCAAGCTATAAATTTTTCCCCCACAGAATTTATCCACGTGGTCTATCTAAATATACCTATATACGTCATCTTTTTGTAAATTTATTATTTTGTAATCATTTTGTAAAAAGAGCGATGGGAAATATTCACGTTAAACAGGAAAAACGCATCGGTTTTTACACTTCAACTTTTATGTCTTTAAGCAATAAAATATTAAAAACAAATATTGATTTTTCAAGTGGTTCCTGAAATTTCACATTTTTACTATAACATGGCAGATGGAACGCGACTATTTTAACTAACCTATGAATGAAATTTTTATTTATTTAAAAAATAGCAAACGATATAACTAGCTTTTATGGGGGAGGGGGGGAATTGAGTTAAGACGAAATTCGGTACTGTCACAACATATATCTTTGTCTAAACAAACCAACAGGCATGGTTGTTGAATAAAACTGTATTTTAAAAGCTCTGTCATCATATGAAATTATGTTTTTTTTTTTTTTTTTTTTTTTTTTTTTTTTTTTTTTTTTGCAAATACTAATATGCTATTTTCATAATTGCTGTGTGGTTACAGCAGTTATTCATGACTGTTGGGTCAAGTTCATGACTGTTTGGGAATCGAGTTAAGACGAAATTCGGTACTGTCACAACATATATCTTTGTCTAAACAAACCGACAGGCATGGTTGTTGAATAAAACTGTATTTTAAAGCTCTGTCATCATATGAAATTATGTTTTTTTGTTGCAAATAACATACTATTTTCATAATTGCTGTGAACTTACAACAGTTATTCATGACTGTTAGGTCTAATTCATGACTGTTAGGGAATTGAGTTAAGACGAAATTCGGTATTGTCACAACATGACGTACAACAGTTATTCATGACTGTTAGGTCAAGTTTAGTCCATTTTTAACAAGCATCCTCTATGTTTATTCTGAAAGTGTGCACAAAACGTCAATATGGAAACAAACCACAGTCTTAAGAAAAGAAAAAGCGCTTGTGGTCTAATTTTTCAGTATTTAAAAACCTACTCCAAAGCTGTATGGTCTGGGATCATAAAAATTTTTTAAAAATCGAGAGTATAGCATTGATTTTTATTGTTTTCATCCAGGTGAAAAAATTTCTCCAAATTGGTGATTTTTAAGAAAGTTTAACTTTCGAAATATTTAAGTTATTTGTACGTCCTAAATCCCAGATAATTCTTAACAGCAAGTTGGCATATATAGTTTAAAATTATAGCTATGCTTCAAATAAAAAACCCTTAAACTGTGGCTTTTTTTTTTTTTTTTTTTAATTTTCCTTGGCAAAAGAGCTTCGAAAATCCATGTTACTCTAACGGCTACGAACTACGAAAAATTTCAAAGGATTCTAAAATGCTAAACTTAACTTTCTTGAATGTATCAATTAGCTTGTTTAACTAACAAAAAAACTGCTATATTTTTTTTATCGATATAAGATTGAGTAAAAATTCTGTAATATTGATATTTATTTCCAGAAAGCGGATGTGGCTATTGCGGACTTAATCATAAGGCCAGAACGTCAGAGAGTGGTTGATTTCACCGATCCTTTCGAATTGGTGACTTTCAGCCTCCTTATGAAAGATCCAGACACCATCGATTCTTCACATTCCAGTTTTTTCCTATTTTCGGCATTTACACCAGATACCTGGATCTGCAGTTTAATAGCTTTCGCCATCTTCTGTGCTCTTTTTCACTGCATAACTATATATACTGGTGCTCCCGACAGCATTGAATCTGCCTCTGGTATTTGGGGGAGAAAAAACAGTATTGTCGCGAATGTATGGTTTGCAATTGGCAGCTCATTGATGCAAGGAACAGGAATATATCCGAGGTATGACAAAAATTGTAATTACATTCATTGTTTTTATTTATGATTGCTTTGTTATTTTAAGTACATCACACCAGAATATTGAGTTTGAGAGAAACGGTATCTTCATTAATTATGCTTACAAAATTTCTACAAAGGTCTGCCTAAGAATGAAAATAATCACTTGTGGTATAACTACCACGATAAATATTAAATACCAATTCCGTAGTACACTGGTGTGCACAACTTAAGCAACAAGTAGTTTTTCGGCCACAGCTCCCCAACAAAGTATAAGATAGCCATGAAATTGCAGTATAATATGCACGTAATTCAGTAGAAAGATTATTTGTATGCAAATTTTAGAAATAAAACGTCGTAGGATCGGCGCGCGTAAGTGTGCGTAAACCTTGTGGATCGGCGCGCGCAGGTCAAAGCTGTGATAAAAGGATGAAGAGCATCGTAGTTAAAGACATTCGCTGCAAGTGCAAGTGATTTGTTTTGTGAAACATGTCTTCAAGAAATCATTTAGACGACTTTACACGAGGAAAAATGATTGGGAAGCTTGAAGAGGGGAATAGTGTGACCAGTGTCACCGAAGAGTTTGGGATCAACAAAAGTGTTGTTTCTCGTGCTTGGAATGCCTTTAAAACTACTGTTCGGAAGGTTTGTGGTGGCCGTCCAAGGAAAACAACACTAAGAGATGACCGTTACATTGTCCTCCAGTCAGCGAGCGCCATATCTCAGCAACTGTGCACAGCCACAGGACGACAAGTATCAAGATTTACAGTGGCCAGACGCCTCCACAAAGGTGGCTTATTTGCTAGACGTCCTAAACGTTGCATACCTTTAAAAGTTAACCATCGGCGGCACCGTTTAGAGTGGTGCAGAGAACACGAAACTTGGACACCTCATCAATGGAATCGCGTCCTCTTCACAGATGAGAGTCGTTTTAGTGCTACAAGCGATTCTCAACGTAAGTTGAT